CACCTTTTGCTATGTATCTTCAGATATCAATGTTGCACTTTCCGTCTCCTGTTGAAACAATTCGTTGAAATTTAAAATTTTTTTTTTTTTTCTTAAAGCTTTTCACCCCAAGCAAGGCGGGAGTGCCACTAGTGTACGAGGGGTTACAGAGAGTAGGAGCAAGAGTAAAGAGGCGTGAAAGTTGTTGTGGAGTTATTTCGCAGTGGAGGCTTGTATTTGTACTAAATTGGTCCTAAATAGTTCAACGTACAAAATGTTAGGAACTTGATATAATAAGTATTATGCATAGTAATCTTGTTGTGGTCGCTGACTACTTTCATATTTGACTAACTGTTGACGACTGTCATCCAACATCGACTGACCTTCATTTCTCTTACTACTCCTACTTATATTAGGTGGGAGGGTCTATTAACTATAGAATAGGTGTGTTTCACCATAACAAAAGTGGAAAGGATGTGAAATAGATCAAGGCATCTGGAGATGTCAGTTGACATTGCATTTGAATAGTTGAAGATTACAGCTATCAGGGAAGCAAGTAAGAGGAAGGGAGTTCCACAGACGGGAAGTGCAAGGCATGAATCTATTGGAGTAAAAGAAACGGATACATTTAACCGTTTCGACAGTGAAAGGGTGGGACTGAGATGCTGACCTAGTAGTAAGTTTAAATTCATTAAAGTGAAAATAGCTTGTCGGAGCAGTTACCATGAAAGTATTTGTAGAAAAGACAAAGGGGGGCGGGTGACTACACATTTGTGAGAAGGCAATTGTAAATGAGATGCCAGATCAGAGCCAACCACATTGCATACCTGTCTCTGGATTTTGTCAAGGACTCTGAGACAAACAGTGGGGGTTCCAGACCATCTATGACAGCAATATTCCATGCAAGGGTGAATGGTTGTATAGATTTGAAGAATGGACTCTGGCAAGAAAAACTTTCTGACACGACATAGAGAACAACTTTCCTTGTGGGAGATGAAGCTATTGATTCAGTGTAATTGTTCCATCTCAGGTTAGTGGACAATGGGAGACCAAGCAGTCGCAAAGAGGTGCTCTCGTGGAGTTGAGTATTAGACATTCTAATTGGAGGCAGAGAGGATTCTCTGTGTTGGGTAATAGAGAGCAGTTTTGTCTTTGATACATTAAAGTTAACCAGCCATTTCCTGCCACAGTCAACAACTGATTGGAGGTCCTTTTCGAGACCAACAGCCAGGTTAGTTTTGTCAGCGATACCACATTCGCTATTTAGGTATCTGTCCTGGCTTTCCCACATCCAAGGGTTGAGGTTAAAAAATTGAGTTGGATTTAAAACATTTGGATAAAACGCGAGTAAAAAAAAAAAAAAAGCAAGATTAGAGCAGACAAACTCTCTCTTTCAGGTGCAGACAAATAAAGAAAAAACTCCTGCTTGGTGTGTAACAATAAAAGAAGAAAGTGTTTATTTAAATATACAGAAAAAAAACGGGTAAAAGGATAAAGACAATTAGGTGTGAAAAAAAGGGAAAGAGAAAATGCTTTAAGGGAAGAGAAAATGTTCATAACAGAAAAAAGGCTTTCTCAAAATATTTCTCTGAGTGCCTAAAATGTTCTTTAAGCGAGTAGAATTTTGTTAAGGGTTAGAAATGCTCACAGTTCTTATAGAGTAGGAAAATTATTGTTAGATATAGGAATCTTGCAGTTGAGTGAGTTCATAGGTCGATGACAGAAGTCCAGTGGGCACGACAGGAGTGGGGAAGGGATGCAGCTTTGAATTGATCTTGACTTGTGGGCCGACATTCATTCTTGACAGCCCTTTACTAGGTAGTTCATCTTTGGTTGAAAGTGGTTCTGAAGTTGACTTGTGCTTTCTATTGTCAACCTCACTGACAGTGGTTGAATTCTCACTGCCAAATAGGCAAAGATTATCCAAATTTATGGAGATTTGGTAAGCTCAGAAGAATCAGTGACTTTTCCATCCAAAATTGTTTAACAAATTTCCTGGTCCCTTCATTGGTCAGAAAATATATTCTTATTTCTGATAAGAATCAGGGCTCTGGGAGCAGGTTTTGAAAGTAATGAAAACAGGTTGGAGTGAACAAGCTGTGAGGTTTTCTCCAGACTTTATAGCACCACAGAAAGAATAATGGTGGTGGAATTGCTTTTTATATTTTCCAGCTAGTCAGAAAATATATTATCTTTCATAAAAATCAGGGATCTAGGAGCCAGTTTTGAAAGTAAAAAGAGGTTGGAGTGAGGATAGAAAAAATAGCGAGAATGTGAACTTGTAAAATATTGTTCTCAAATTAAATTCCAACAAGGAGTAAATAGTAAATATGTTGTACTTGTTTGAATTTGGAATCTCTGATTTGTAATTTGCTTCTGTCTTTTTGCAATTGATGTTTAGTCTTTTCTTCTTGCTTTCCTTTACTACCTTCTGTAGGAGTGAGGGTTTTTTTTTTCCCCCTAATAATTTGCATATTGGGTTGTTGCTTTTGCTAACATACATGCATTCTGTCTTGCAACTGGTCTTTAGTTGGCTATGAGATTTTGATCATTTACACTATTTGCAAGCTGACTATTGTTCTGATCTTTATCACGTTTTGCGTTTTATGCTCTTTGACCTTTTATCAGATGTTTGTTGATTCAGGTAACTTAGAGGGAATTCTGGAGTGAACCCTTTACTTAATCTACAGGTATATACTCTTATTTTTTTCACTGCCATGTCTAGGGATATCTTGTCTAATTTTTTTTTTTACCATTTTTTTTTTTTTTTTTTTTTTTTTTTTTGTATTACTAGATTGAAAACAGTCTGCTCTCCATAGATTAAATGATTTACTTTAGAATTCCATGTAGTTTTGGGCATGTTCTAAAAATCCAGCATCCTGGGTATGAAAATAAACTACATCCACGTTCTGGGGTAAGAGGATAAACTACATCTGACAGCAAGTTCTCTGATCAGCAGGTTTTGATGAGTGTGGAACCACCTTTTAATTGTTGGTGTTCCCAGGTCCACCCTGATCCAGGGTGGTAGCACCTGTTAGGGTCCCAGCTGTGGGGAAATAGTTAACACCAAAACTTGGATCAAAACTGGTTTAAAAAAACAAAAAAATAGGTTTTAATACCAGTAATACATTTTTTTTGTAAAAAAAAAAATATTACCAGCAATAAAGTTTTGAAGAAAAAAATTATTAAAAGCAATACTTTTTGAGAAAAAAATATTAACAGTAATACAAATCTTGTTGGCATTAAATAACCCATTGAAGTTGATATGCTGTAAAACAAACCAAACCAAACCAAAAATTCCAATTTATAAAATCTTACTCACCATACTTGCATTTGGTCAAAAGGCTTACTTACATATATATATATAACTAGTATTTGTCTTAGCAATATTTTTATTTTTTTATCTCTTTCACCAGCTTACTATATGTACATATTATAAAAAGCATCTGTGCACAATCTTTCATTATTAAAATATATGTAGAAGTGTAGAAGAATGAACAGTAAGATCAGTGTTCAAAACATTTAAAAACAGTGCTCAATACCAAAAGTAGAGCCGTGTACATTTTTTGTTTCAATGTCAAAAAGGTTTTTTGACATTGAAAAAAAATGTACACTTTTATAGTGTATATGTGCATATTCTAATGTAGCACTGCATAAAAAAATATATATATATATATATATATTTTATGCAGTGCTACATTGAAACAAAAATGTACACGGCTCTACTTTTTGTATTGAGCACTGTTTTTAAATGTTTTGAACACTGATCTTACTGTTCATTCTTCTACACTTTGAGATATATATATATATATATATATATATATATATATATATATATATATATATATATATCCTAAGCTGTCCAAAATGGACATGAATACAATATGGGAGCCTGTAATAAAGAGTGCTAGAGAAAAAAACAATAACAAACTGGTAAAAAATGATAACTGAGACATTAGCTTTATAAGTCCCACAAATTAATTTACTGATGTCCCCCAAGGGTAAACAGTGCTGGTTGAAGTAATCCAAAGAGTTTTGAGTTCAATACCTGGCCACAGCAGAGAGAACAAAAACTTGGAGAGTTGAATTATTAAAGGGAATTAACTGAAAGTGATATATCGAGAAGAGGCATGTCATGTGGAACTAAAAAAGTTTGTCAATGAATAAAATAAAGGGTTTGGATTGAAATAAATATGGTAAAGATTAGGACAACAGTCTCCACAATGTACAGTGTAAATAGTTACAATACTTCATCCCAGAAACACACACACATATATATATATATATATATATATATATATATATATATATAATATACATGCACACATACAGTACATTTCCATGTCTCTGACAACCTTTAAATCCCAAAAAGTCACCCTTAAAAAGAAGCCTTAAATTCTGAGTGGTGTTTTTTGGTAGGCTAACCTCAGCACTGGTGAGATAACTAATAATATATATGAAAAGATTCGCATTATCAAATAAACTGATAATGAAAGTAATAAAACCATTTCTACCTTATATATTATTGTCATAACTTAATAATAAATTGCCTATTTGAAGAATAATTTCATATCAATTAAATCAACTTGCTTCCATGCAAGCTCAGCTGAGAAAATGTAAACATTGAATTATGACGGCATTCACAGCAATGAAATGTACAATTATCATACTGTTATTAGCAGTATTTTGTGATTGTCAAAGAAGTATATGGCCATTAGTACACCAGGTTGTTTGTAACATTTTACATATGGCGAAAAGAAAAGGAAAAAAGATTCAGTATCGGCAAGAAATCACGTGATGAAATGTTAGCAAAACAATACTTTCCCTTTTAAAGAGTGTGTAGCAAAAACATTATACAGAATTGGTTTTATTTTGAATTTCTAACTATACAGTAACTAACAATATTTCCAATAACATCGTCTTTGTATAATCAATAAGCAATCGTCTTATACTACATGTAACGGATAAATTCATGAAAATTTTTGATCTAGTCTTGTCTAAAGGTTTTCTTATACGTGGAAATGTATTGTGTGTGTTGTCCTCTCTCTCCCTCTCCCCCTCTCCTCTCCTCCCTCTCCCCTCTCCCCCTCCCCCTCTCCCTCTCTCTCCCCTCTCCCCCCTCTCCCCTCTCTCCTCTCCCCTCTCCTCTCTCCCCCCTCCCTCTCTCCCTCCCTCCCTCTCTCTCTCCCCTCCCTCTCTCTCCCTCCCCTCTCTCTCCCTCTCTCTCTCTCCCCTCCCCTCTCTCTCTCCCTCCCTCTCTCTCTCCTCCCTCTCTCCCCTCCCTCTCCTCTCCCTCTCTCTCTCTCCCTCCCTCTCTCTCTCCCCTCTCTCTCCCTCCCTCTCTCTCTCTCCTCTCTCCCTCCCTCTCTCTCTCTCCCTCTCTCCTCCCTCTCTCCCTCTCTCCCTCCCTCCCTCCCCTCTCTCTCTCTCTCCCTCCCTCTCTCTCCTCCCTATCTCTCTTCCTCCTATCTCTCCCTCTCTCCCCCTCTCTCCACTATATATATATATACACTAGCAGCATTACCCCGTGTTGCCTGGATTTATTTAAAAGAAAGAATCACGAACCTCATCCAATCTGTAAAGTAAAAATTAAGATTTTTCTTTAGTGCCTCTTATCTATATGGCAAAAAATTATAATGACATGAAGTGTGAAAACATTTATAACAAGAGAAAATTGTTTTTTACAGAAGCACAGAAGATATAAGAAAATTTGTCAGCAAATGAAGAGTGCATTCGATCTTCGAAAATTGTTGAGGAGAAATGCTTTGTTGACAGCTTTTCCTCAAACTACATCGAATGAACAACATACATTGGAAGGAGAAGAAATTCAACAAATACTTCTAGCAACCGTGCCAAGGCTGAAAACCAACATTCACAAAGACTGTATAGAATTGTTCTTTGCCCCTCAGTTTCGACAGCTCGAGTAGCAACAGTTCTCGCAGCGTTCCTTCCTCGTATAGTTAACCGTTGCTCATTAGTTTCTGCTGACCTTGCATTAGCTATACGAATACCATTTTCTGTCAGTCTAATTTGAGTTTCTTGTTGCAAAGCACTTCTTCTCCATGCTTTCATGTGTTTGGCTGTAGTAGTAGCATGTCCAAGTGAAAGATTTCGCTTTCTTGGCATTACCGTCAGGATGCAGTTGGAGGGGTTTGGCTAAGCTTTTTGAATAACAATGAAGTAATCAATTCAAAAGCAAGAATATTAAACACATTAATGGAAATATAGCCACAATAAATTAAATGCAAGTTTATAAGGGAGACAACAGGAATGTGGTAAACAATTATAAGCAAACTCATAAAGTTAGGATTTATCTAAAAATAGACTACCAAAAAACGTTCTTAATGCAAACTAAACTATTTCAGTACCAAACCAGAAAATCCATGGGAAAACTGATATTTTTCATAATGTATTTATGACACATGGGGTGTCAGTTTTGATTTTGAGTTGTTTGATCTAAACACAAATTATGTGCAAATTTTCATCGGAATGCTGCTAACCACTACAATTGAAAGACTAATGGGGCAGCAAGGTGTTCATGGGTCCTCTTGGGGACCCCTTATATAGTTTTCAGAATCTGATAATCTTTTTTGATTCATTTTAAGATTGTAATATACATGTAAAATTCCATTGAAATGAAAGCAATTTGAAAATTTAGGGGTCCCAAATTTCAAGCCAAAGGACAGGTTTAAGACTAATAGTAATTGAAATAAGAAAGCACATCTTTTTTTAAACTTTCTATTTAATCGACTTCATGGCCAAGGCTCTAGACTTAATTGAAAATTTTGGGGTTCCCTGCTGGGGTCCCAGTGTTGATTTTCGGTGAATTCCAAATGACTACTTCAGTTACTCGATATAATCTCAATATGTACTAAAATTTTCATTGAAATTGGGGAATACTGCTCCAAAATACACTTGAAAAGCAATTGAGGCATCAAAGGTCATCCTGGGGGCCCACTCATGCATTTTTAAAAATCTGACAACCGATTTCTATCTCATTGTAAGAGCATAACAAACATGCAAAATTTCATCAAAATTGAAGCAATTTGATTTTTTTGGGGTCCTTTTGGGGCACCCATTGGGTCCCAGTGTTGAGAGAAACAAAAATCAATATAGCATATAATAAGCGTGACAGTAAGTTGCATACACTTATCAAGTTTCATTAAAATCGGCCTCAGGGTTTAGACTTCAAGTCTAAAAGTTTAAAAACAACCAAACTAATGGAAATTCCCATTTAAACATTATATTTATTGATTATCGATTATTAATTTTTTGGCCCAGACACACCCAGTATCGAGTGCAATGTATGTTCCAAATTTGGTGGAAATGTGCCTTATGGTTCTTGAGTAGTTCCTGAACACACAGTTTTTTTTATATATATATATATATATATATATATATATATATATATATATATATAAAAAATATATTAGTGTGTCTCTCTGTCTCATATATATATATATATGTGTGTGTGTACACTATTTACATAATTTGGACTATTGTCCTCATCTTTGTTGCCATATTTATTACAACATTACAGCCGTTGTACGCTCTGGCCATCTTCAGGTGGTTGGAATGTCGAACTGAACCCTTTATTTCTCTCACTGGTGTAGACTGTTCTAGTTCCACATGCCATGTCTGATGGATGTCAGTTATCAGTTATCTCCTCTGCAAGTTCTCCGCTGCCTTTACCAGGAGACCTAGAATTATCTACCAGCTTTGAGATCAAAATGTCTTATAACAAGAATCAAACCTATATTCCTCTTGGAAATCACCTTTTGAACTAATGTGCTTAACCGTTAGTCACAAGAAATCATCATAGCAAAGTAAGGCTCGGTTTCTATCTGAAAAGTACAGCTCACATTGGGACCTTTTTGAAAACTATATTTGGGCTTTCTGGCCTTGGTTGGCAATTAGTCTAGGAAAAGGGTGACTTTGAATTCAAAACTACTGGCTGGGCATGAGTGCTGGCAGTTCCACTTCATATAACCCACTTAGTATGGCAGCAAGATGCTGCATGCTGAGGCCCTACAGTCCCCTCCCCCACACATTTGACTAGACAGCTCTTTTTTGTTTCTGTTTTTTTTTTTATATCTATTATAATTCCTGTCTCCATGCCTTGGAATTGGAGTCTTAGAGAAAATGTTCTTTTTTAAAAATTACTGTTTCAGATATGGATATATATATATATATATATGTGTGTGTGTTTGTAATAACACATTGATTCAATTGTGGGTTGATCAGGAGTTGGGATCAGTATTATTGTGAACTCCATGATCTTTTCAGTTTCTGTTTAATATGTGCTTCACCAGGGTTTTGAAGAGTTTTGAATTCAGAACTTTCCTTCTTTTAGATTGGTTACCAGTCATGACTACAGAGCCTAGTCTGCCCTTCTATTTAACTCCTAACTGAGAAGAGATGGATTTTTCCTGTAATGAATTTAAGATTCTAAATACACTGTGAGTCTTTATTCAGGATTTTGTAATAAGTAATTCATTTATAAGCAGGTGTGCTCGGATTTGACTAAATCTTAAGCAAATCTGCTATCAATGTCAGCATGGTATAAGCAACTGAAAAACAAAAACAAAGGAAAAAAATATTATTGGTGTCTTGGCTTCAGTCACTTTCCCACTGTCATAAAGTAGTCTTCCTGTGTCTATTCTGTAAATACTTTCAAGGTAAATTTTTGTATGAGCTATTCACTATGATATGTAAACTTTAGAAATTTAAGTGTAGTACTAGATTAGCAACAATGTCTCATCTATTTACAGTTGGTTAGATATGTAACTGTAAGTTTTATGGTAATAATTTCTTTTCTTGCACTTCTTACTTGTAGAAAACTATTTCAGCTCCATGCTTTCCAGCCAACTTTGTTGTTCAAAATTTTAAATACAATGTCAATCTTTCTCTTAGGTCTCACGGATTACTCTGCTAATAATGTTTTTGTTTGCTGATTCTTTATCCCTTGTAACCCCTTGTGTCTTAGTGGCTTTACTGTTTTGCATGGGTTGGATTGTTTAACATAAAAGAAAATAGTAAAGAACTGGACTTTTTTCTGAGAAAAGCTAAAATCTCCTCTCCTGAGAGAATGTACATCTGAAGACATATGGACAATTGATTAACTGAAATATTGTTAGCAATGAATACAATATAAAGAAAGAATGAAACAGTTTGTTCAAACTTTAAAACAAGACATTATCATTGTCAATCTGACAAACAAGAGTGGTATGGAATAAAGATCAATATAACAAAAAAAATCAATTTGATTTCATTATACACTTTTCTTTTTTTTCTTTTTATAAGTAACTCTACTCAAATTTGACAAAATGTTAATTGTAATAGTAATATTAGCCATTTCCCTATAAGGAAACATTTGGTATTTATTGACTGAGCAGCCAGTACTGCTTTCAGTTAAAATTTATAAAATCTTTCTCTTTAAAACAATTTATCAGGAAAACAGGTTTCTCAAGTTCAGTAGCTGTTATCATTCTTTCCAGTATTGATGGGGGTTTCCTTCCTAACCTTTTGTTTGAAGTAGTGTGGAATATCAACATCTTGATTATATCATTATTTTCTCTTCTCATGCCCAGTAGCTGTTATCATTCTTTCCAGTATTGATGGAGGTTTCCTTCCTAACCTTATGTTTGAAATAATGTGGAATATCAACATCTTGATTATGTCATTATTTTCTCTTCATTTTTATACGTGCTATCTGTTTTAATTGTTGCTTCTGTTGGTAGTTCTCAAGGGATGCTGTTGTTGTTATTTGGTAGTTCTTTCTTTGTGATTCTGTAGCACCAGTCTACAATTTTCAAAAGCTGCACTCACAGAAAGCCTTATTTTAAACATTGATCTTAGGAAGCCATTATATATAGCAGACTGTTCACATATTTCTGAACAGGATTTATATGAAAGATTTGTTCTGATGAGTTTATTTAAGATCATGACATTTTAGCTTAGTAGCAATTTGTGGTGTTGGGCGAAACAATCTCTAGTGCAGCCTATTTTATATTCATTTTCATACTATGTCCACATATCGATCATTTATCATATGTCTCCCTGTAAGAATTTTACGAATAATGTTTAAATTTCTTGGATGGATGCAGAATGTTTTCCCACTTCCATTAAGTGTCTTAAGAAACTTAAAAATGACAAATTAAATAAAATGTTACTAAATACTTTATTTTATCCAGTATTCAAGAATTCTACCAATTCTTCTACTTTAAACTGAAACGTCTTTCTTTTCTAATTAGACCAAATCTTAAAAAAAAAAATTATACAATCATTTAAACATCTTCAGTACTAAATCTTGTGCACTAATTTAGCAACCTAAGGACAGACCAAAATTCAAAGTTGCTTATTTAAAAATAAAATCATGAAATAGACTTATAGATTCAACAGGCGTAGACAAGATCATTGGTCGCTGCCTAAAAGCATTGAACAATAAAACGAAAACCACTAGACCATAAAAATGATGTTTTGATGCTTTTAATTTTCATTATTTGTAACATACGATAATAAAATAGGAT